AAAGTTGTAATGGAGCGACTTTCTGTTTCCAATTCCAATTGATGATATGCACTTTCCAAGTCTAACAGGGAAAAATATTTCGCATTTCGGAGTTTCGTCATGAAGCTGTCAAAAGTAGGCAGTGGGTAGTTTTCTCTTTGAATTGCTTCATTTGCTCTGCGCATATCCACGCAAATTCGAATGTCTTTATTTGGTTTAAAAATTATTACGATAGGCGATATCCACGCACTGGGCTCTGTGACTCTCTCAATAATATCTTTTTTTAACGCTTCATTGATTTTGTTTTCCACTTCTAATTCCACCGATATTGGAATCTTCCTTACCGGCTGTTGCACTGGTTTGACATAAGGATCTATGGATAATTTTATAAGAACACCTTTAATTTTAGGAAACGGTGTGAGCTTTTCACGGTTCGTTGCGTTTATTTCCAATTTTAAAACATCCAATTGTTTCGCTACATCTTTCCCTAGTAACGATATATCTCCCTTTACAACATAGAAATGTGTAATAATTTCATTCTCGTTTGAGATGTTAATAGTTGTTGTAAAGCGGTGATTGATTTTTAGTGGCTCCCCAGATGCATATGATTTCAAATTTCAAAGTGTCTCTAGGTGAATTGTCTATGTTCCAAACAACTGCCTTGTTATTCTCAAGTAATTTCCAATCTTTATCACTTATTATATTAGCCTTCGATCCTGCTCTGGGACTCTGTGCTCTATAGAATTCTACAGCTCGCTTTCCATAGTAGATATCTATTTTCAAAAGCGATAGTCGGCTGAAACGGCACTCTGTGTCACTATCGACAACAGTTCGGCTACGTTCTCGGATCCTTTTATCATGCTACTAACCATTCGAAAAACGTAGTACAAATCTAGGGGAAACTCTAGGAAATTTTTATTTGATTCCTAAGAAAAGTCAATATTATTTATTGAATTGACTGTATACGTCATTAATAAGTTTGTTTTTGTTATAATTTGGTTTGCTTGTTTATACCATAACTATTTTCGCTTCCTGAAAGTTGAGTTTAAGTTTAGAAATTATTCTTTGTTGCCCATTAATAATTTAAATAACAATATTGTTGAAGACGATGAGCTTGAACATATTGGTCTGGAAAATATCCAGTGATGAGTGATGCCTAACCACCAAAAACAGTGACTGTTTTCAAAAAGAAGATGTTAGATTTGAAGAGATAATCGGGCAAAGCTATAATATTTATGTGGCTACAAACTATGTCAAGAGCAGAGCAATAGAGAAAGTATCAATAGCCATCAGGGTTCAGTTTCCTGTGACTCAAGATGTGAAAAATCTAATTGAAACAGGATTTATGGAAAAAATTAATTTTCCAGGTGTGATTACTATCACACGGCCGATGGAACATGGAACCCACAGTGAGTGAAATTATTAGACCACATGATGAAGAACCCTGGCTAATGACACCTAGAGAAAACTCTGCTCCAGGAACTCCAGAGTTCAATTATAGCCAAAATCACATCCAAACTCGAAATTGTATCGGTGTGTTTAAACAAAGATTTGTGTGTACTTCAAAAGTATTGAGGCATGCCCCAGAAAAAGTTGGGCGCTCTGTTATTGTTTGTGTTATTAGACATAATAAGTGCTCGGAAGGGAGAAGGTGAGAATGGTCCCCGAACCTCATATCCGAAGGGATAACATTCAGGTACCGAGGTACCATATAATGTAACGTTATGCAAGCAGGAGTCCAAGCAAGAAATAATTTGATTCGTCGTCATTTTATGCACTGATTTTCTAAAATGTTATTATAAAGATTTTAACCACAATATTGTGTTTTATTCCGAGTTTTTCGCTTCTCACTCTCATGACAATGACGATAATATTAATATTATTAATATAATCGGAAACCGGCGTCTGCTCGAAATAAACTAATGAAAATATTAAATATTATTAAATAAATAAGAAATAGGAATGGAATAATTATTTCTCAATATAAATATGGAATATCAACAACAACAACTTCGCAATTGTCAGTGTCATACATGAAACTTCACAATGCACATGCGTCAGTAGTATTCGACACGTCTCGAGATGTAGAAATGAAATTATAAAAAAAATCGCGTTTTGTCGATATTCTTGATGCACAGAGTGCCAACCATGTAGAATCTTGTCGACTGATAGAATTCTACATGACACAGAGTCCCGCTCGAATCGATAAGTAAGGTCAGTCGTACTCCCCCTACCAGGCATTCAATAAGATCATCCGAATGACTCTGGTATCCTGGTATTTTTGTGTTGTCCACCTTGAAACAATCAAAGCTTTTGATAGTGTCTTCATCGATTCCCCCTTCAGGATTTCCGGTTTCAACGAAATTTACCCCAGCAACAAATATGTAGATATATATTTTATTTAAAATAAAAAATAAAATTGTTTCTCATTCCGCAAGAAAATCTAAAAACTAATGACATCTGACATCGTGTCTCGTGTGTCACGTCACTGATGATCACTAATGAAAACGCTATTGAAATATGATTGAAATTATGTCGCTACAAATTATAGGCAATTTTTTGCAAGGATAACCAAGCATACTCGATTATGCTCAGATGTTATGTGTCAATTGTGTCATACTCCCCCTCAATGTATTCCCCTAACTCCCGGCCACTATCAAATTCTGGGATACTCGAGGATCAAGAACACTTAACTTCTTCTGTGAGAACTGAGAACAAACCGAAAATCACCTTTTCTACATTTAAAATCGACGAAAAAATTAACTCACTAACTAGCACAGCCTGAATCTGCATTCCATCGCGGTCTGCAGGTGACGTCATCACTATTAGCTGCTGGTAGTGACGTCACTCGTAGGCCAGGAATTGGATGGTGAGGGAGTTAGGG